GTCTTATGGGGTCTATAGAGCCCATATAGAAAAGCTTCATAGATATGTAAACCTTACAGATCCTCGAGATAAAGAATTTGTAGGAACCGCTTATGTTTCCCACAAATGGAGTCCTTTATAAAAAAATCTTTGAAAGATCGATTATATGGAGCCCTCATACACAGTCTTTATATACTCCTTATAGAAATCTATAGATCCTCTGTACAGATCCCTGATATGGAACCCTTGGTAGAAAACCCTTAGACTATACAATCCAAAGAACGCACCCACCCTCCACTCCCTCTACCTCTCCACCCATCTCCCCACTCCCTCCTCTTCCCCTCCCTTTCACCCGTAACCCTTCTTGATTGCCATCTCACTCTGCTCCCCTTTCTACCTGCCTTTACCTCCCTCTTCCCACCCCTCGCTCCCTCTACCTCCTCTCTCCACCCACCCTCTTCTCCCTGTTCCTCTCCACCCTCTCCCCACTCACTCACCCAACCCACTCAGCCCGGCCAGGCTCCCCAGCTGGCCCTGCCTCAAAGCAAGCCTGGCGTGCTGGCCGCGGATCTCAGCAGGCCCCTGCCCACCTTCAAAAGCCCACCAGGCTCAGCAGGCCAGGCCGCAGGCAAGCTGCGAGCTGGCCGCCTTCGGCAAGCTGTCTAACATTGTTTCTTATCCACTTTCACCTATTCCCTCGCTTCAGTCCATGCCCTACCTTTCACTCCTTTCCAGACCCTTCTGATATGAGTAAAATGAGAGGAGGAGGTCAGAGGGACGAAGAACAGCTCTCTCCATTACTTTCTCTCATCTGCTTTGACCCCTTCCCTTTCCTGGCTCCATGCATGCCCTGCGAGAAGAGAAGAATAAGAGAGAAAAGAGGAAGAGCAGAGGAGAAACTGGTTTCCCCTCTTTCATTACGTAGCATTTCTTTTGGCCACTTCCTCCACACTTCTCGTATCTTCCTCTCTCTTCTTCCTCTGCTGGGCTTGAAGCTCTCTCTCGCCCTCTCCGCAACTCTCTTCTTTCTGTCGAGCGGACGAGCGGTGGGAGAGGAAGGGCACAAGGTGAGTGAAGACGAGAACACTTCTTCCTTGTCTTCCTCCACAACCTCTTCCTGGTTTTTTACCAATGGGACGGTGAGATAGGACAAGCAAGGCACTTTCGACTGCTTTCTGCATCGCTTCCCCTCCCCTCCTCTCTCTCACTCTCTGCCTCTGTTTTTGCTGGTCTTTCTCTCTTACTTTCTCTCTTTGTTTCTGTGTTTGTTTCCTTATGGCTCTCGTTCTTCTTCTGCCCTTCTCGGATTGTCTCTCAGCTTCTGTTGTCTTTCTCTTACTCCCTTGTCTTCTTCCTTGTGAATTGTCCTTCTTCGACGGGAGGCAGGAAAGGCAGGAGGAGAAGGAATAGGGGGCAAGCGATTCTTTCCAAGCGAACATAATAGGCGGAGAGAAGCGGAAAAGGGAATGTGCAGAAGTAGACGGGAAGGGAGGGAGGGAGAAAGAGGGATCTGGAGAGAACAATGAAAAGGAGGATGGATGAGGTGATGAGAAGAGTGCCCTTTGCATGCCCTGAACTCTCCGTTTCTTTCATTTCTCCTTCCTTATGAAGATGAATAGGGTAAGAGAAGAGGAAGAAGGCGAAGGGCAAGGAAGTAAGAGAGGCGAGCGAAGGAGGAATTCTCCTTTCTTCTCCGAACCGTCTTCCCGCATCTTACCGCTTCCTTTCTGTTGTCTGCTCTTCTTTCCTTATGTCTTCGCAGAGCCTTTCCTCCTTATCCTTTTCTTTCCTCTGGTCATTCAAAAAGGAAAAGAGGAGGAGACGCGAACTGATTCTCCTTGCTCCTTCTTACCACACTCTGCTTCTCTACATCCCCCTGCTTTCTTTATACTCGGTTTGGTGTTCATGTCCTCGGGAGGCCCCCTTAGGGAGGAAGTTGGTGGCTTCCAGAAAGTTGTGGAAGTGTCTGAAGGCGCCTACAAGCCTCCTCAAAGCCCTCGCGAGGCCCGGAATCCTTTGAGATACGGCAACACTGGTACTCTCTGGCTTCCTCTTCTGTGTCCTTCTTCCTAGTCTTCCTCGTTTCTCTTTCTTTCGCACTCGACTTCCCGCACTCTCTGTCTATGACTTTCTCTTATCCACTTTCACCTATTGCCTCGCTTCAGTCCATGCCCTAGCCTTCACTCCTTTCCAAACCCTTCTGACATGAGTAAGCATCAGAAGAATGAGAGGAGGAGGTGAAAGGGACGAAGAACAGCTCTCTCCGTTACTTTCTCTCATCCGCTTTGACCCCTTCCCTTTCCTAGCTCCATGCATGCCCTGCGCTAAGAGAAAAATAAGAGAGCAAAGAGGAAGAAGAGGAGAAAGGGGCTTCCGCCCTTTCAATACGTAGCTTTGGCTTACGCTTCTTCTGGCCACCCCTTGCCCCTTCCCTTATCTTCCTCTCTCTTCTTCCTCTGCTGGGCTTGAAGCTCTCCCTCGCTCTCTCTGTATCTCTCTTCTTTCTGTCATTTCTCAATCTCGTCTTTTCCCTTCTCCACTTTCCTTCCTGGTTCCCACTTTTCCGCCAGACAAGAAAATCAAAGAAAGGAGAGCGGGCGAGCGGTGGGAGAGGAAGGGCACAAGGTGAGTGAAGAGGAGAACACTTCTTCCTCGTCTCCCTCCACAAGCTCTTCCTGGTTTATCACCAATGAGACAGTGTGATAGGACAAGAACAAAGAATGAATAGACGTGGAGGTCAAGGCACTGTCGGCTGCTTTATGCATCGCCTCCTCTTTCTGTCTCTCTTTTTGATTATCTTTCCCCCTTAGTTTCTCTCTTTGTTTCTGTATTTCGTCCCTTATGGCTCCTTTCTCGGATTCTCTCTCCGTTTGTTTTGTCTGTTTTCTTACTCCCTTGTCTTTCTCCTTGTGAGTCTTCCTTCTTCCTTCTGAGTGATAAGGGGAGAAGGACGGGAGGCAGGGAAGGGAGGAGGAGAAGGAACAGGGCAAGCGATGGGACAAAGAGAGTGAGAGAAAGTTAAAGATAAGTATCAAAGCAAGCATAATGTAGCAGGCGAGAGAAGTGGAAAAGTAAATGTGCAGAAGTAGAGAGGAAAGGATGGAGGGAGAGAGAGAGAGAGAGAGAGCGAGAGAGAGAGAGAGAGAGAGAGAGAGAGAGAGAGAGAGAGAGAGAGAGAGAGAGAGAGAGAGAGAGAGAGAGAGAGCGAGGGGGAGATGGACAACGCAATGAACACGAGGAAGGAGGAGATTATGAGGAACAGTATCACTTGCTCTCCCTGAGCTCTCCGTTCTTGTCGCTTCTCCTTCTAATTGTGAAGAAGGATAGGAGCAGAGAAAAGAAGGCAAGAGCCAAAAAATCAAAGAGCCGAGTGAGGGAGGAATCCACCTTCCTTCTCCCAACCATCTTCCTCCATCTTATGTCTTCGCTTCTGTTTTCGATTCCTTCCAGCAACGGAGCAAGGAAAGAGGGGACAGAAGAGATGAGAGAGCGAGACACGGCAGAGAGGAAGACAGAGCGAGAAAAAGAGAGAGAGAGAGAGAGAGGCGGAAGCGAGACCTCCCTCGTGTTACCCCTGTCATTGAAAGCAGAAGGCGACAAGAAAAGAAACAGAAAAAGGATCAATCAAAGGAAGGAGAGAAGGGAGAGACGAGAGAATGAAGAGTTCACTTCGTCCATCTTCATGCCTATTCCTCTGTCATGACTTCAATTTCTGTGTCTTCTTGACAAACGGCAGAGTGGATAGGCAGGAAGAGGAACGGTGAGAGAAAGAAACAGGACGAGTGATACACAAGACAGATTCTTGATGGTTCCCGGCGCGAGAGGGACGGGAGGACATTGTGATAGACCCTAAAACCAGCACGGAGAACGTCGCCTGGCATGCCCGAGTTGTGAGAGCGTAAAACCATCTAAATCCTCATAAACTCCAAACCTTAGATCTTCCATAGTATACTGACCCCGGTAAACCATAGTTAGGAGCTAAGACCCTAGACCCGTAAACTCCTGTCGAAACCTTTACACTGTACACGCTTCGGCCTCCCGATGTAACCGTCGTGCCAGACCTTGTCGTCGCCGTGCTGAACCCAGTCGTCGTCGTGCTAAACCGAGTCGTCGTCGTCCTTGTCGCCGTGGTGTTGTTGCAGTTTAAGTACAAAGCCCAGCAGGATTGCCAAATAGACCCTAAAGGTCCATGCCACATAGGTATATATCCTTATAATATAGCTATTATATACCCACTATATAGCCCATTATAGGGTAGGGGTCCCAATTAAGGGTCCCTCCTTTTCCCCTTTGATCGTAGGTTCTCCAGCATCACAGCAGTAATAAGAGAACCTCTTTCCCGCTCTTCAGGCGAGGGTTTCACAAGGGGACCACGTCCTAAAGGCAGCGTGGCCCTAAACCCTACACCCTTTTGCCCTTAACGCCATGCAACCTGAACACCAAGCCGTGTCCGCACTTCAGAAAGCGAGTCGTGGGCTTGGCAATTGCTTGGAGTCGTCGTTGTAACGAATGGCCACTTCCTGATGACCTTTTCGTCGGGATGCTTGGGCGCAACTGGTATTGAATTGGATCGCAGGTGAGGGCTGCGCACGCAGCACCTGAAACGCGTGGGTCGTTCCCGTGATCCCTGCGAGGCCCATGGTGCACTGTAAACTCAATATCCGGAACAAGCTTGATGAAGCCATCTGCCGCCCAGGAGTGTGTGGGGAGGTTGGCGGTCGAGCCGGTGCCAAACTCATCTTGGCAGGCTGCGGCTGCTGCGGCATCTGGAAGACGTTGGGGTGTTCTGGGAGCTACAGGGTTTATCTCACATCAGACCCAGAAGCGAAGGTAAAATGGTAATGTAGACCCCTGGTTATTGAATCTTCTTTCTTCAAAGCCTTAATGTTATCCGGATACCCACTAGAAGTCGTCTTACAGGAGAGGGATTTTACTTCTCGGTGGTCTACATCACTACTGCCGGACTAATTCGCCTTAACCCTACCCGAACCCTACAAGAAAACATCTAAACCCTTATTACCCTAAACCCTAAACCCCCACACCCTAACGCTGCACTCCACAAAGCTTCTGAAGGCCTTGCCCTCACCCGTGGCACCCAGGTAGGTGCCATCCCCCACCCACCGGACAGATTCCACCTCAGTCTACTGCTGCAAGATCAAGAAAGTATGGGTGTTGCAGCTTTCCGGTTTAGTGTTTCGGGTTGCATTCGCGTGTTGAGTTTTGTGGGTGTTTAGGGCTGGTTGTGAATTTTGCTACGGCTGCTACGGGTCGAGGAGTGACATTTTGAAGGGCTCAGAGTTCTCGTTGTATGCTGGCCCCTTTGACTACAACACGCGAAAGTCTCACAGACGTCCGGAAAGAGGAGAAGCCCTGCAACCCTAAACCCCTCAGCCGCACGACTTCGAAAACCTGAGCCTTCGCTCGCCTGAAGCCATAAGCCTTACGTGCCGACATCTCAAAGTCTTAGTTTACAGCCGCAACTATTCAACCGCATCTCCTTGGTAAAACTGTCATGCAAAGACCGGAACTGATATTCATCTCCACAAAAATCCAACTCTTCAGGCTTCTCTACTGAGCCTAGCGCAGTTCAGGCTTTCTCTGCAAAGAACCATGCAAACAAACAACTTATTGGAGATCCTCTTCGGAAAGGAGCTAGACTGATCAGCACATAATATTAAAGCCATCCTGCATGGAATCGCTTTTGTTTGCGAGTGCTCTGAGCACCCGACAGTCGAGTTGAAGTGCCTGGAGTACTTCACTACCTTGGAGCGGGGCGTTAGAGGATGTGTAATTGGGGTTTGTGAGAATCTACTGACAACGGGCCTACTGAAACTTGAGGACTATCGCTGACAGTGTACAAAAGCGCTCAAAACCCAAAGCCCCTAAGCCCAAGAACCCCTAGACTCTCAATCAAAACTAAATCCCCCAACACCCAAAAACCCTCTACTCCTAACCTACAAAGTACAAACCAAATTCTTCACATGTCTTTACTGAGTCATATTGAGCTCTCTGGGACGGTTTGACCTTACACCCTGAACCCCAAAAACCGTTAAGCTAAACCTTCAACCTACTCACGCACCGCTTAGACTGTCTGGGGCCGTCAAGCTCAACCCACCCTTATCCTTGAACGAGAAACGTCATAGGACAAGGTCTTGTCTGGTTATCTTCACCGACGTGGGAGTGTCAGCAGATGGGGCCGCAAACCCCCGAAACCCCTAATCCTACAGGCCCCGAAACCAGCAAGTGACTACTAATCCTTTTCGATTCCCAAAAGCCCTGTAGAGCACAAAATAGTTGCTTTGTTTAGGGTTTGGGGCTCTACTGCATGTGTAGATTGCGGAGCACAATACTGTTGTTTCGTTTAGGGTTTGGGGATCTGCTGCGTATGTTGGGTCCTCGGATATGTTATACGGGCTGCCGACCCAAAATAGGGCTTTAGATAAGAGCACTACGGTTGATGATATAAATCCTGCATTACCCATAATAAGGAATAGACCATAATTCCCATAGTTTAGGGTCGTCCTTAAGGTAATGCAGGATTTATACCATCACCCTAAACCCTAAAACCCTAAAGATCCCTTAAAAGGAGCAACTTAAAGGTACCCCTATAGATCCTTTTAAAGGGAACCCTAGGGATTTATATCATCAGCCGTAGGACTTCATCCGACTGAGGTTTGCACGCTGTTCATGCTCGGCGGCATGGGGAAGTGCTTTGCGAACGAGGGATCTTGCTCCACGCTGTTCCTGGCAGCTTTGGGGATTTTGTATAAAGGCCTATATAAATCTCCATATCTATATTACATCTGTATCTGTCTATATGCATATATGCACACGCATAGGTATGCAAATGAACAGAGTCAGTGAGAAAGTAAGAAGACACCAATAAAAAGAGAGAGAGAGAGAGAGAGAGAGAGAGAGAGAGCGCGAGGAGCGAGAGAGAGAGAGAAAGCCTACGATGTTGTAGTATGATGTACACAAGTCAAACGAACTGATAGGCATGTTAGTAAGCACTACGAGCCCCCAGTAGCCCCTCTGTGGTTTCTATGGTGATGTACGCCTAGATGGTGGATCTCCGGAAACTTGGAGGGTTTAGCTTCATGGCGTGAAGGCACTTGGGGGTTTAGGGTTTTGGAAATTTCGGAGGCCTTACATGCATCGTTGTTGGGGTTTAGGCTTTGTTTCAGGAGCCTTACTTAACACGTCAGTTCTCGCGCTAGGTTTGCAGCCGGCTGCAGGGCTCAAACCCTGATCCCCAAGTCTTCAGCGGCGCATCTTGCCGGAAGCACTCGGGCAGGAACTTGCCCGAGTGGCAGGTCCAGGTGAACGAGTCGACAGTACTCCCTGCCGTGGTCGTGGTTAGAGCATGTTACAGCAAAACAACATCTTGCACTCAAAGGTGAGCATCGGGCTGCCAGAAGAGCACTGGCACAACCGGGCAGATGTGCTGCCGCCACCTTGAGTTTGCCGCATGCTGCGCCAAGATGGCACGACGGTCGCCCCACCCATGCTCCCCTAGCCGAATCTGTGTCACTGCATTCGTGATGCAATGACAGCGTTCAAGAGACATGTACTTTGCGCCATGTTCTTCAAGGAACCGGGCACTCTGCTCAACAAGAATCCATATCAAGCAGCACTAAATCCTAATTCCCTTGCTGATATAAACCCCAAGCCCCAATCCCTACATCGTGCGCGTCATACGTCCCCTGGTCCCGAAACCGATGCCGTCGAAGGAAAGACAAAGTTCAAAGATTGGGTACTACAAGAGGACAAGGACTACAATCTAAACTTCCGAACCCTACCCCGCAACACAGAATCCCAGAACAGCAGGTTATGACACCTAGTTATTGAGTATAACCCCTTAAATTCAGGATGGTACGTAATCATTGCAAACCTAGACCTAGACTCGGAGCCCCAAAAGTCTGGATCCCCACACCTCCAACCCTAAACTTGCATGTTGTAACCACCTAACCTTTCGAGAATTCGAGACAAGGTATCCCTAAAATCCAGACCCTACAACTCCTAAACCAGTAGACCCCTAAGACATCCTAAAACCCCCCCCCCGATAGTTCTGTATACCGTATATACCCTATCCAGACCCTATAAATCCTAAACCAGTAGACCCCTAAAACCCCCCGACTCTAGTTCTGTATACCGTATATACCTTGCCTATAGTCAAGGAAGGCCGCACTGGCTTCTGAGAGAACCTCCTGTCAGAAGGGCAGACAGTTGTGCTTAATGCTTATATAACCCTATGCCTCCAGGGACCTTATTATGGGGTCCTTAAGGGGTCTAGGGCCCTAACTATGAGGTCCTTGGAGGGATAGGGTAAGACTTGGGGTTTATGGCTCAAGGTTTGGGTTTAGGGCTTCGGGTCTAGCGCTATGCTTGATTAGGGTCCAAGGTTTCTAGGGCCCATGGCTGTTTGTCAAATTTGACTTGAGCGTGCAGCTTGCTTGGGGTTCGGAGTTTACGGCTTGTAGATTAAGTTTCGGCCTTACCTGTGCATTTCAATCGCAAGATTCCCAGGGCTATTCTCTATTGTGTTGTGGGGTTTGGGCAGGTAGGGGATGGGTTTCGGATTCATTGAGCGATGAGAACTTTGAGGGTTCAACCTGTCTGCGAGGACCTCCTACTCTTGTCGGCGAGTGCCGAGAAGTTTGCTGTGTGACCGCTTGCGTAGCCAAAACATGGAGCACCCCAAGACGATACTCTGCCAACTTCAGGGGATTAAGCGTATGCCTCGAAAGTCTCGAGGGTCAAGAGTCGAGCGTATGGGATCAGATTGCAGCGCCTAGTGTCTCTAGCATAGCGAACGTAGGCCCCAAGCAGGGGAACATAAGATCGCATCAATCCTGATTCGGGTTCCAGGTTGCTTCTCGCATATACCGCATTTACAAATACAGCATGACGGACACCATAGTAGGGTCTGTTTTAGGCACCCGGGAGGCTGGGACCCTGAACAGCATTGCATACTCGTAAGCAACCGCGGTTAACCACTGTTGTTGGGAGTTTCGAAACGAGCCTTCAATTTCGGAAATCAGTCAAGACATGGAGCGGTGTCTCCACAGAAACCAAGATGATGTAAGGTTTGTATGACTGGCATCCCCACAAGCAAAAATGCGAGGTGTACACTCATCAATAGCATTACGAGCCTTTGTATACACATACCACAGACCCCAAAACAAGCCATACCCAGACCTTCCAAAACCCCTTAATAATTAAGGAATATACCTCAAATCATATTAAGGATCCTACTATAATTTAGGGTATATTCCTTAATTAAGGGATTTTTGGAAGGTCTGGGTACTTCTTATTTTTCATTCCGCCCATGCGAGGCCAAGGTCCTTGATGTTCTCGGGGTTGCTAACCTCAGCGAGCGGCACAGCCCCCTGCCAATGCTGACGGACGTCCTGCACTAAAGCCCTAAAGCCTAAATTCTAAACCCTATACGCTAAACCCTACACCCCATAGTTACCCTAAAATAAACCCTATCCCCGCCCTAAACGCTAGACCCTAAACCCAAACTCTGGGAAGACGGTCCTGAACGTTCAAGCCTTGAGTCCTACATCCAAACCGCACCACGAAGAACGCACAGCTTTTTTCTACACCCCGAACCCTAGGGGCTGAGTAATTACCCTAGCCCCCCCAAAATGAACCTCTTGAATTATGGTAGGATTATATGCACTCCAAAAGGTTGAAGGCTACCTACTCAGCTACTAAGAAACCCTAAACCTTCCGAAGAATCCGCAACTGGGATCAAACTTATGGGCCTCTTTTGGTCCCATGAACTATAAGGAATAGACTAGACTATAATGCAGACCCGAAGAGGGCACATAAGGTGGATCAACCCCCCCTAAGCCCTATAAACCCTAAACCTTAAACCCCCAACTTTTGACTGTCCATCTCTGTAAACTGCAAGGTCTGCGCTCGGCTCTAGTTGCTGAGTTTTATGGCCTTACCAACCTTCCAGAATCCTACTTCCCCAGGAACCCGACCAAAACCAAAGGATGCATTTTCAGGATGGAAACGAGCATGAAACAAAAAAACAAACGGAACTTGCGATTAAAGAAGGTCGGGCTTTGAAGACCTACACAACCCCAAAACCTCAACACCCCCAAACCCAAACCCTTAGAGTCTGAAACCTAAACCTGAAGCACTTCTCCAAGACTGCCGCAAACCAAAAAAATAAGCATGCGATTTAATAGCTGCCTAGTGCTAAGTCACTACTTAGGCCCCTCCCATCAGTGATGGTTTAGCTGACGGCCCTGCCCCGAAACTTTCTCCAGGCCTCTGACTCGAGGTCCTAATTTGACTTATAAGCCCGTAAAGCATAAAGCCCTGAAGCCCTGCAGCCCCCAACCAATGCCGACTCCGACAAGCGAGAACCTTAGACCTGAATACCCTAAGCCTCAAAAGCCCCAAGCCTCAAGCAGGTTTGTAAGCTGTGTCGAAGTCAGTCACCGTGTGGGTTTAATCCTAAGTTCATGCCACGGACCGAAGACTTAATCCCTAAACTCTAACTACATACGTCGTAAACTCACCGCAGACCTTGAATGCAGACCTTGAGATCAAGCTGGCGCAGTAAGCCTCGCACCCTGGCGAAGAAGATGCTGAACTCCTGGCTGTTAGTTATCTACTTGATACTTCTTGGTGTTCGGGCCAGGAAGATCTCAAAAAACAAATACTAAAGTCATCTAAAGTCTGAAGTCTGTTTCAGAACTTATGCAATGTCTCGACAAATAGGTCTTATAGAGACTCTGAAGTTGTCTGTTTCACCTGGTCATGACAAAGGTTGAAGAGGCGTTCGAAGCTTCAAAGGGTTTGTAGGATCCACCCGTGCCTGCTGCCGTCAAGCCAATCTGCCTACCAGTTGAACCTGCACACCATTATGGAAGAATTCTAAAGGCCCCTGCGAACCCTCGCCGTGCGAACAGAAAGCCCTTAAAAAACTCAAAAACAGCCCTGGGGCCCGACATCCTGAATCCTACACACCCACACAGCCCGAACCCTACATCTGTTAAATCATAAACCCGTAAACCCTCAAACCCGAACCCTTCTATCGAAACTTCCGACGCCACTGAAACTGCTTTTGTCGCCTCGAAGTCGATCGCACCGCTGCCGTCCGTGTCTATGAGTTTGAACACCTGCGGTTTTTGGGGCTTCTACGTGCAGGGTCTAGGCTTGGTGGTCGGATTCCGGTGGGTTTGGCACCGAACCCCCTAAACCCCAAATCCCAAAACGAAAGACACGCAATAGCCCGAACATCCAACATGTCAAGTTTTCCATGTTGGCAATCCCAAACCCTCAGCTTCTAACACCTATAAACTTTACTTCCACCCTCCCCCAAAGTCCATGAAAGAAGACGTGCCTTCTTCAAAGAGTTTTTGCTGCAGCGTATGCCCAGCCTGGGTCCGTTTATAATCTGTATCAGTGCAAACTGCACAGGGGGTTTCCTTAGGGTGTTGGGTGCAGTGTTGCGTGCTTACTTAAGGCTGACAAAGACCACGGTAAATAAAGTCAGGCGTTCCCCTGTTTGAGCCTTCGGGAAAAGGCTCCTGGCTCAGTGTTTTGGGCTTGGGGTTTAGCTTTCGGGGCGTATATTTGCAGATCTTTCTTGCACACGAACGTTGGGTCAAGCTTTGTGGTCAAGGCGTCTGCTCGAACACTATTCGAGTAGGGTGTGGGAGTTCGGGCAGCGTGGGGTTTAGGCCTGCAGGTGCATCAATAGCGACAAGCGGCAAGGAAGCCCCGGGATGGAGATCAGCAGAAGCTCAGCAATCAAATTCAAACATGATAGGTTTCGACCTAGCTTGTTTCTTGGCAAGTGACACCGCAGCACTTAAACGAATATGCAGAACAACCAAAACAGTGTGGGTTTCGTGTTTTTCTCGGTGGCTCTACTGATACGTCCTTTCAGGGGATTGGGCCTGGTGGAGCATGCGCACCGTGCACTAAAGAGCTGCCAACCATCGGAAAGGATTGGCTGAGGACTTTTCCACGGTTGCAGATCAAGGTCAAGGTATGATGACGGCAAAAGGCAGCTTAAACTTAAAATTTTGGTCGGCTTCAAGCTCCACACAACGGGGTTCGTATGGTATGTTGACGCACAAGCATCAAAAGAAAAACCGTTATAGCTTGAGGGTAGTAAGAGTAAACGAAAACGGTTTGCGCACAAATTGTAACTAGTGCCAAGGATCCAGTGCTACAGCTCAAGCAATATTCTGAATGCATGGATTGGACGGGGCTACTACAGTACCGACGGCCCATTGGATTCAGCCATATGGCTTTTGCGTCGGCGCTGCAAAGTTTTAGTTTTCGCGAGCTGGCTATGTCATGCAGACCACCGAGTCCCAAATGTCATTTCCTTTTATAGGGCCATGATGGCCGCATCTGTCATCGTTCAGAGAACGGCAAGAGCGAGCTCCGACGAAGGGTTTTGCAGGACAGTGGCCCGTCTTCAAGGCGGCTCCAGCCTTCTATAGATCCTCTTTAGATTCAGGGAAGTTGCGGGTTATCGGTTTTCTGGAGCCCTTTTAACCATAAATCCTACAAGCCTAAAGCCTGAACGTAGCCTGGTCTCAAAATCTCGTTTGGACCTTCTCTCGGAAGTCACAACAAGTCGTTTTCCGGGATGTCTACGAGAAGGGGTCTGGAATGTTTATTGGGGTCGTCATCTTAAAGAGCCACGCCCCAAAAACGCCCAACCCTCGAACTTGATTTACATCGAGGAAACGTAACAACAAAAACTCCTATATTTTCTGAAGTGTTCACATCTGCCAAGACTTGCCCTGAATCTCACAGGAGGTCGATGTTGGGTGAGTTCAAGATGTCAGGATTCGGGATGACATACTTGTATATTATACATGATACACCCATTCCTTAAGCTTGATTAAGACCCCGCCCCTGAAACTCGACCCTATCTAAAGGTGCCTGTAATGGCTCCAGTTTTTGTTCAATAAATCCGAAAGGCTCCTCATGAACGAGACGGGGCTGCAAAACGCTTTCCATCAAACCTGAGAGCTCCCCTGGGCACAGCTGGCTAGGCAAAGGACATCCCCAAGTCTAAACATCCTAGCAGCACCACAAAGTTCCGACACAAGGTATGCTTCAAGAGAGCCCCAGACCCCTCAGACAAGACATAAGTTTCCCTAAGCGATGATAAGAAGCCACCACAAGCTTTTAGGATACTCATAATCCTTGACAACAGATTGTTTGGGGACTCCAACAGACGCCATGAGACCGTCAAGCTATCGAGATGTGGGCTTGTATTTGAAACAGCAAACAACTACAACCGGAAATAGCCAGACCCTTAAACATCGCCTTTGCAGCACCCCTGTAGAGCCTGTCAAGCACTACGGAGACTGACTTCAATGTTCTGGAACATACAGAGTTTAGATAGGGGCATACCTCTGCCCTGAATGCCTCAATCGTAGTTTCTTCTGTTGGGTGAGCCGTTTCAGGTTCAGGGTCCTTTAATGAAGAGACAATGCAACCAACAAGCGAACTCCGAGGTACGGCTTTAAGCAGGCTTGCCCGTCACCAGCTTCGGTTGTTTGCGAAACATGAATTGCGCAATCTGACAAGCTGGAGCTGTAAGCCCCAAAAGCTTTAAATTCCGTAAACGAAGATGCAAAATCCGTTTCACGCCCTGACCAAACCCCTATAAGCAGACCTGCAAAGCCTTATAGCACCCTTACAAATCCCTGCAAAGCCCTTATAAGACCCTTATCCCAGTTTGTCTGCCAAACTGCTCCCGCGCGGCTGCGTCCAGCTCCTGTCAGACTCGTGGCTGAAGGTTTTGGTTTTGGGAGTTACGTCTACGATGCCGGGCTTTGAACTGTAGGGTCTTATGGCTTTATAGGGCTTTAATCTTAAATGGGCTTAAGGTTCAGGCTTTTGAAGATTTAGGGCTACGGATTCGCGTCTAGGGCTTACATGGCTTTATAGGGTTGAAGTTTACGGCTTCAATTTAAATTCACTGGCGCGACCTTGGGCTCAGGGCTTCAGGGCTCTCACCTTTATCGGGATTCAAGCCATTTCAGGTTTTGGTTTCGACTGCGGGGCTGCTCAGGGATGACGATTACTCATAATTACCTAAATCCCCAAACCCGTATCAGCCCTAAGCCCTAAACCCTGAATCCCCGAAAACCCTAAACTCCACATCCAACCTTAAAGCTCAAACCCTTTTCGAAGTGACTTCTCCTCCATCTCGACGGTTCCGCTACCGTCAAGGTCAATTTTCTGGAAGACCTGGTTCCGGACCAGTTTGGTTTCCGGGCTTCAGGGTCTGGGGTTCGTGGGTTTTTGAGGGGTTCAATAAAACAAGATGACAACAAAGCCGACGAGAACCTAAACCCTTATAGACCCGAACAAGAAAACTAGGACAACGAAGCTGGCAAGAATCTAACCACCTATAAACCCTGACAAAAAAGACAACAAAGCTAACAAGAACCTAAACCCTTATAGACCCTAACAATAATGGGACACCAAAGCTAATAAGAACCTAAAACCTTATAAACCCTCATAAACACTCCCTCCTAAAACCCTGTAAACTCTAAACCCGTGGCCTGTTTCAGCTCCTCGGGATCCATGGGGTTGTCGTCGACGCCCATCTTGGCCTTGGCCTTTGCCTTGCCTCGGAGAGGGGATGCTGTGCTCTTTCTTAAGGTTTAGGGGCTTTTGTGTCGAGGATTTACAGGATATACACTTTGGGTCGTAGGTGTCGTCGAATCTAGGGCCCAAAAAAAGCACATAAGCAAAAATTAGGATAGGGATATCCCATATGAATCCCCTTATAATGAAGCCCAATAAGGTAGGGATATCCCCATAAAATGCTTATGCTTATGTGCTTTTTGGGTCCCTAAGAATCAGGGTCCGGAATCTCGGACGGACAGCCCTTGGCTTCGTCTGCGGGGTTTGGTGTCCTACAGGCGGGGGTCTCAAAAGTGTAGGACCGTTAGCATAGCATTTAAGGGCTTGGGGTTGGATAGTTTAGGATTCATCGGGCCAATTTTGGATCTGGGGAGATTACGGGGTTAGGATTTGCATTTGGGTGTTCGGTTGGCGCTTAGGAGAATGGGTCTGGGGCCTGAGACGTACAGTCTGATTGGCAGCTTCATGTTTAGGCTTTTTAGGGGTCGTAGAGTTCCAGGTCAGGCGGTGCAGGGCTTGGTAATACTGTGTCCGCACAGGACGTTTACGGTTTTGAGTTCCGGGTCTTGCATGCTCAGAATTGGCTCGTGAGCCTCAAGAGCCAGAAAAAGAACCTACGAGAGCCATCCCATACCCTCCTTCAAAAGTAGCATGTACTTGAAGTACTTGGGTCCCCAAACCCAAAACACTAAATTGCTCACATAGCCCCGACCCCCGGTTAAGCAAGAATAGTCTTATAGCATAAACCACAAAACCCCAGGCACCCAACCCTCAGGGTCTGAGCACCTGCTCATCATAATCTCCTCCAAATATTATCCTGGATTTCAGATTTCTGCTACCCAAAACCCAAATACCTAAATACCTTGTAACAATCTATAACATCTATTGAATCGTCAAAACCATTTATATGCTCCGCCAGAGCTGGTCCGGGGATCCCTGCCATGCGGTCTTCGCATTGCCATGGCCCCAGGCAGGCGGGCTTATGTGCAAACAGTTGCAACTTTGAGCCCGGCGGTTTACGGGTTTTCATGTGCGTTTCTCAGGACCGCCAAAGTACACACATTCCGGGAAGGGCTCCAACATCTCAAGACACCACCTTCCACTAAGCTAGCATGGAACAGAGGCTGAGTAATCTAAAAATTCCAGGGTTTCCGGGTTAAGAGCCCTGCAGAATGAAAGCTGTGGACATGCTCCCCGAGCAAAGCTGGGGCTTTCTGGTGCTTGGCGGAAGGTTTGGCCGGGCGTTAAAGGTTTGACCTTCAGGTCGAGGAGTCCGTAGACCTTGAGCTCCCCCCACGACATGCAAACATGATGCCCACGAAGCAACGATGCTTCGACGGTACGTCCAAGCCCTGGAATTAAACACCTGCTGTACTGAAATTGCCGAACCACTGTTTGGGTGCCTACTGTAGGGCTCTATATAGCTCAGGTCTCATAGGGTCTGGGGCGTCTCTTGCACAGCCACGTGCTTTAAGAGATCTACATGAACTCCAGAGAATGATTGCAGCCCTTCTCCGGGGGTCTCACGAATCGTCTCCCACCTTTCCATGCTCCTCGTCCTGCTTGCTAGCGTCCTAACTGTCACTGCTCGGAATTGTGCAAGGAAAGGATTCAGGGTTTGTGTCTTGGAGTTTGGGGCTCAACATCATTCGTAATAACCGTAGAACTGGCTGTCGTTTCTGAGCTGAGGTGCGCCTGAGCACGAGAATATTTGGGAAATGCTTGTTGGCTGTTGTAGCTCGCAGAACCACCAAGAGAGTACACAAAGAACAACAGTTCCTACAACCAGAAATACCATAAACAAACCCGAACGCAATGGCGAAGTCGTCGTCGCTGTCGAGGAACTCGGACAGTCCTGTGTTAGGGAATTCGGCTATAGGCCAAGGCTTTGGGATTTAGGGTACCAAACGAGATTTGGGGGTTCAGCATCGCAGGCTTAGGTTTCGCGTCAGGTGCTTGAGGATGCTTGACTTGGAGTGTGCGTCATGTGCAGTTTGCGCATGGCCACAAGAGGGACTTTCTGCCTCGGTGAACGACCTGAGCGTTTTGGTCAGGATCCGATGGTGTGGAAAATCGGCAGCCCAAAGGGCCGAAAGGGAACTATCCTTGAGAGTCTAAGTCTGGCTCGGCTAAGCCCTGAAACCTCAAGCAATCAAGAAAGTTGGGGACGCCTCACGGGCTTGCTGAATTGGACATTGAGCTGCAATACACTCTTCTATAGATCCGTAGAGCAGACATTCCGACAAATCCTTGAATACATCCTGTCAACAGGCAATTTGCTGCAAGGCATTACTTCTGCGAAGGGGGCGCATCTTTTCTCTCAAGGATCAGCAAAATCTGCAGCGTCGGCGTCATCTACCACCTACCACCAGCTACGGCGATGTTTGCAGTTGTGGCATTTGCAATCGCTTTTGTGACGGTAGTAGATCAACCATCGCACCAAAGACAACTGCTCCTTGTACACCACAAACTCTTTGAGGTCCACCTTGCCCCCTTGCGACTTTTGTTGGGCAGTGACAGAATCGTAGCCCTCCGGCGCCCTCTTCCAGGAACTGCAATCTTCGGTTGTCACGGTCCTAGTCTCTCCCAGCAAAACCCGAGCAACCAAAATGCATCGCTCGCCTTGAGGGTGCTTGCATTCGCTTGAGCTGCGGCTGCAGTCCGAACATGTCGTATAAAAATCAGACTTCGAAGCGTTCTCTGCAAAGTATGCTCCTGTACCGAACATGGCACCAACTGCTTCTCCGCCACGTTGTGGATCCAACCCTTTCTCTTGAATGCTGCGTATGGCGGCAGATGGACAGCCATGAAATAGCAAATATTCGTTCAAGTCCGCACAGCCATCTTCCACAATACATTTCAAGGCTGAGATTCCTTGGAGAGGTGCGCAACCATGAGGTCTTTCTCGCGTTAGAACCTTCCTGGCATGTCGATACTGTTCTAGACTGTGGGGGTTGATGGTCTCACAAATCCTAGTGATCTCCACCTGCGGTGGGTCACACAGAGAGGCTGAGCGAAATGATTCTCGATGCTGCGCCATTGAAGCCAGGAAAAGCCCGCTGAGGGCATTGTGCACTGGCAGACCCTCAGGCACGTGCCTCTGAAACAGGGAAGAGCCCTGAGAAAACGAAGAGAAAGACTCAACATCGGGAAGATTGGATAGAATCTGCTCTGTAAGCTGCTGGGAACGCTGCTTAAAGTTCTCCTGGTCAGCCATCTTCTGCTGGGACAGATCTTCGCAAAGTGCCCGCTGCTCGGCAAGTTGTTGGGAGAGTTGCTGGATCTGTTCGTGGTCAGCCGTCTTCTGCTCGGACAGATCTTTGCAAAGCGCTCGCTGCTCGCCAAGTTGTTGGGAGAGATGCTGGATCTGTTCGTGGTCAGCCGTCTTCCGCTCGGACAGGTCTTTGCAAAGTGCTCGCTGCTCGGCAAGTTGTTGGGAGAGATGCTGGATCTGTTCCTGGTCAGCCGTCTTCTGCTCGGACAGATCTTTGCAAAGCGCTCGCTGCTCGGCAAGTTGTTGGGAGAGATGCTGGATCTGTTCCTGGTCAGCCGTCTTCTGCTCGGACAGATCTTTGCAAAGCGCTCGCTGCTCGCCAAGTTGTTGGGAGAGATGCTGGATCTGTTCCTGGTCAGCCGTCCTCTGCTCGGAAAGGTCTTTGCAAAGTGCCTGCTGTTCGGAAAGCTGCTTGGAAAGACACAAAACCTGTTTGCCCTCGTCAGAGACTTTGTCGGAGGGGCAGGCACGACAGTCCACTATCATCACGCGGCGAATGGTCCTTTCTTTTCCGGTTTCCCTGTTTTTCTGGGTGAGCGCCCGGAAATCCACATCATAGGTGTAACGGCCCACCGTCGCCTCACAGCTATGCTGCAGCTTGTATGCTTTCTCGAGACAATCTGTATACTCGTTTGTAGTAGGCCTCCACTGACCACTCTCAAAGTATTGCCATTGCGGCCTCTGCCCTGAAAGAGGCATAGACACATCCCCTGTTGATACCGGAGCTGCTGGCCCGCCGGGTGTCCCTGCATCATCTTTTTGCGCCGGAGCTGCTGGCCCGCCGAGTGTCCCTGCATCAACTTTTTGCGCCGGAGCTTCTGGCGGCAGGATGATGCCAATCCATACGACTATAGTTGTTATGACAAGCACGTAAAACGCCAGGCTGCCGCCGAAGTACTTGTCAAGAACGCGTAGCCCAACCAAAAAAACTACAGTAACAACAGTAACAACCAACTTTTGGCAGGGTGTCACGTCGTCCGGCGAAGCATCAGCCATGTTTGTCCGCCTTGACACGGAACTGATGTAGAAATGCGATGGAACCGTCTGAATGTGGCACTGAAGCGACACCGTCCAAGAGTTCCGTGAGTTCAAACAATCTCAGAAACTCAGTTCGACTAGCAGTCAGGACAGTCTGTGGAGTCATAAAGCCATACATGCTCAAGCTTCAGCATAACGGCAGCGGAAGCTTTTCTGAGGCAGAGCATAAGTGACTAACTACCATGCACTCGCCCCAGCACTGAAGAGCAGGCACAACATCGGTGCGGTCCTGCACTTGTTGTAGAAATCGACGTGGTTGCCGTCGTCAGAGATCACCAGCAGTGAACATGATGTGAGCAATTCTTTGCATGTCAGGCTAGGTAAAGTGTAAGGGCTTGCTACTGTTAACCCAAATCCTACATCATAGACCTACGCTCTGCAGCATTCGAGCGATTGAACTCTTCGTGGTTGCTTGGTTGCCGAATGCAAGGCATTCGGAAGGAGGTTCTAGGGAAAGCAATGAATCTGTGTCCTCGGTGATGGGCACAATCTTCGACGAAGGAATTGCACCTTGGTCCGCCACCCTCGCAAGACGACTCAGTGACCTTGTCCTTTGGGACCTTCATACATCCTGCCACCCTCACTCTCTACACACCAAATCATGAACCCTCATCTTGAGCCTCCTGTCCAAAGTAAGGCCCTGACCTTTGCTTTCCTGGGCGCTGGACCGCTTGGCTGTCTGATAGGGTATCCATGGAGCGGTGAAGGGCTACTGCAGTATGATGCTTCTGGAGCGCAGGCCTCTCGAAGATAAGTTGATCTCTAGACAGGATTTTAATGAAGACTCCTGACGGGAGGCCAGAGTAGGACAGCTGCCTGCGGTGCTCAAAACTCAAGCGGTAAACCCACCACCCAGTGCAGCCCGCTAGGGTTGTTGTACATGCCTACGTACCTAAACTACCACACTTAGAGCCAGAAAGCTTAAACCTAAGACATTACACCCCAAACATTTAGCCAGAAACCCGTCGACTCAGGGCTGGATTTATGACTAATTACCCGTCATACTTGCAATACAGCCGATGACATCAATGTGGATTTGTTCAGCTGTGTTTCTTGGGAGTGGTGGCTACGGCTTAAAGGCAGAGGGGTCTGCGAGAGCGTTGCTGGTTCTACACCCTTAGCCTTGGCATATTTCATGAAGCTTGTAAAACAACAGCTCAAGCAGAAACTGCCTACGAAGTACAAAGATTGGCATGTAAGGCGGCTTCCCCCAAGATCGGAAAAAGCACGATACCAAAGCTGACACTCAACCCTGAGCCAGAAAAGTATCGAACCCTTGAACATCAGATCCTGATAAATCTAAAGCAAACGGTCTAGAACTGTGCTAAAGCTGAAAAGGCCTAGGTAACGCCCTATACAATCCATAAACCCAAAGCCCTCAACCCTACACTTTGTAGCAAGAAGCAGAACCCATAGCCTGGAGCTCGACTCGACCCCAAACCTTAAGCCGCAGAAGCCTTGTGCTTGTGGTGTTTATTCCGCCGCCGATACGTAGCGATGCCTCGGCCCAGTGGAATTTGGCTTTAGGGTTTGATAGCTGTATCTGGGTTTTATTGTATTGCAGTGGCATTGCGCAGGGTATGACTAGATTGGCAATAACAATGTCGCCTTCAAATAAGTCCAACTATAGCACTCTGGTATAGCCGCGGC